CGGGCCACCCTACCTTGGTGGGAAACAGCCGATGTGTAAATAAAAAAATATTTATAAATTTGGAGCTGTACCATTTATTATAATTTCAGTCTGAAAACATTTATACTTTAGAAGAGTCAAATTCTCAGATCTCATTTGTCAGATCTTCGTCGAAAGCCTCAATACCCAGATAACTCCGGTCATTACTAGACAGTTCCCAAAGCTCGTTATAACCCGCAGAACAAAACTCTGGGACCTTTACTGCATCATTGTTAGCACAGTACAAGTTGATATTAAAGACAGTAAATTTGTAATATCTTGTTCCACCCTTTTTTTCGAACTCTAGATTACACACTAAGTCTCTTGTTTTGCCAACACTAAGTCACGCAGGTTTATTCCCTCTGGTTGGTTCTGGAACAAATGCTTCCAAAAACAATCCTTAACTATTTCCAGGAAGTGGCTTGGACTCTAAAATTCCCGTTCAAAGCATTCCAGTTAATTGAAATCCTCAAGAATTACTACGTTATCGTGGCTCGAAGCCTCAACTGTTTCCTGCCAACATGTTTTCCCCAGCTGGGTCCTTATACAGGATCGTAGGACGGTATAGCTCACCTAAAATCATCTTCTCAAACTTATACTTGTTCCTTCAGTCTTTAGTGTTTACTGTGGCAATTTAAGTTATTTCGGACGTATAGTGCCATCCTCAGTCCACTTCCAGTTATCTATAATAACGTGGAACAACGTTAACCCCGGAATGTTGCACTCGGAGAGGTGCAACAGTCGTAGGAGGTATTATATACGTCTCCTACGATTGTTTTACCTCTCCTGCCTACAGTATATTAGCCACTTCTTCGCACATATGCTGCATTCTTTTCAAGACTGATGGACTGACTACATCGACTCAGTGCTGAGGGACTGATTACCTCAAACTCCTCTTCTCCACCATTCTCCTTTGTATGGACTGATGAAGCCACTGTGTTAAGAAACGTTTCCTCAAAGATACCCGAGTGTTGCATGTGTGTCTAATTTATCAGACCATTAACTACTCACACATATTGTATACTGTACCAGCCATGTTATTGTCCCTTTCTATTCCTCTCGTTATCTCTGTTTACATAATAAAACCCAAAAAACTCTTTCTTGTATATATTTTCCTTGTTCATCTTTGCCTTTCTTCCTTTTCTCTATCATCGCTTTGTGGACAAGATGTTAGAAGCAACCAACAACACACTAGTAATTAATAATCTTGTGAGACAGTGAGACATGAAGACCAATTCTGCCTTACGTCTCTTAAGAGTTTCTTACAAGAGGGCCTAGCAGGGAATGTGATCCTCACTCACACATGTCTCCAAGCTCCACTCATACACGTCTCCAAGTTCCACTCATACACGTCTCCACGCTCCACTCATACACGTCTCCAAGTTCCACTCATACACGTCTCCAAGCTCCACTCATACACGTCTCCAAGCTCCACTCATACACGTCTCCAAGTTCCACTCACACATGTCTCCAAGCTCCACTCACACACGTCTCCAAGCTCCACTCACACACGTCTCCAAGCTCCACTCATACGTCTCCAAGCTCCACTCACACACGTCTCCAAGCTCCACTCATACACGTCTCCAAGCTCCACTCACACACGTTTCCAAGTTCCACTCATACACGTCTCCAAGTTCCACTCACACACGTCTCCAAGCTCCACTCACACACGTCTCCAAGCTCCACTCACACACGTCTCCAAGCTCCACTCACACACGTCTCCAAGCTCCACTCACACATGTCTCCAAGCTCCACTCACACACGTCTCCAAGCTCCACTCACACACGTCTCCAAGCTCCACTCATACACGTCTCCAAGCTCCACTCACACACGTCTCCAAGCTCCACTCATACACGTCTCCAAGCTCCACTCACACACGTCTCCAAGTTCCACTCATACACGTCTCCAAGTTCCACTCACACACGTCTCCAAGCTCCACTCATACACGTCTCCAAGCTCCACTCATACACGTCTCCAAGTTCCACTCATACACGTCTCCAAGCTCCACTCATACACGTCTCCAAGCTCCACTCACACACGTCTCCATGCTCCACTCATACACGTCTCCAAGCTCCACTCATACACGTCTCCAAGCTCCACTCATACACGTCTCCAAGCTCCACTCACACACGTCTCCAAGCTCCACTCACACTTAAAATGATCATTCAACACCATTACTATTAATTACTTACTCGACCACTACTAACACTAACACTATAACTGCTACTCTCATTACTGTATCTAAACTGTTAATACTAGCATCACTACTTAATGCTAATACCATTAAACACCAGCTATTTAACACCTGGTACTATTTTTATTCACTACTACTACTACTACTACTACTACTACTACTACTACTACTACTACTACTACTGCCTTTCAGAAGGTCTGCCTATATTTACCATGTATCCATACACAGGCTTAATGAAGTTCCTGGTGAGAGAAACGTTGCCACAATAACCGTCATATAAGTTACACAAGTATTCATTTACCTAACATAATGTGGGAAGTCTTAGCAAACACTGAACATTATAATTACCAACTTTGTGACCGCAGCAACAAGTCACCACTACCGCCACCAATATCACTATCACCACTGCCAAACATTTCTTCGATGCGACTAACACAACCAAAGTCTTCCTAACCACACCGACAAATATTTTCTAACTACAACCAACAGCACAAATTCCACAACTGTCACCTTCGCCACCACAGGCAGGTTATAATCCACTTTCTAAGACCATACTGTCTTAAGAGGCAGTCACTTTCCCCTTCTACACGCCCACCACTATAAACTCTCTGCCAACACTGGCAGACAGCTGCCACCAACGAGCAGGAAAACACTGGTAATCCCAGAGCTCAGCAGAGGAGGCAGAAAGTCGCGGAAAATCCTCTAGAGAATGTCTCCGTTACTTTCGCTTTACTGAGAGTAAGTCCAGGGTAAGTCCAGTAGCTGAGAGAGATTGACTGACTTCTCCAGTTGGGGTTTAAAACCAGTCTACTACAGGAGGGTCATTAAGGTTGAACGTTACCTGTTTACCACCAGTCAAGAATGCTTTAATTCCTTTAAAAGGAATTTAAGTAACCTCTCAGTGTATATCCACAGAGAGGCATACATCTCTTCGTGTATATATATATATATATATATATATATATATATATATATATATATATATATATATATATATATATATATATATATATATATATATATGTCGTGCCGAATATGTAAAACTGGTCAATTAGCAAGAACTCATTTAAAATTAAGTCCTTTCTAAAATTTTCTCTAATACGTTTAAAGATATATTTTTTTCATTAATGTTGATGTAAAAATTTATAATTTTGCACCAAAAGAATCTTAGAAAACTTACCTAACCTTATTATAACAAGAGCAATTTATTTTAGCCTAACCCAACTAAATATATTTTAGATTTGTTTACAATAATTTAATACTAAACAAACACAGTGAATTATTTTTTTTTCGTTAGGTTCAGAATGATTTTGGCGAAATTATTGCATACACAAATTTTCTCTTGTCCTATATGGCAAGATGAGCGTTGCTATTTAAGCCAAGATCGCAAGTTCTGCCTATTCGGCACGACATATATATATATATATATATATATATATATATATATATATATATATATATATATTTTTTTTTTTTTTATTATCACACCGGCCGATTCCCACCAAGGCAGGGTGGCCCGAAAAAGAAAAACTTTCACCATCATTCACTCCATCACTGTCTTGCCAGAAGGGTGCTTTACACTACAGTTTTTAAACTGCAACATTAACACCCCTCCTTCAGAGTGCAGGCACTGTACTTCCCATCTCCAGAACTCATATATATGTATACTAATAACACTGCACTAGCCAGAGACTCGAACCCATGTTGTACTGGCCCGCCTCATGGTGAGCGAGAACCAAATGATGCTTTAAAACCCACAGGATCACGAAAAGGATTTGGTGGTCCTGTGGGTTAAGGTGTCATGTGGTTCTCGCTCCCCATAAAGCAGGCCAGTACAACATGGCTTCGAATCCTTGGCTACCGCAGTGTTGTTATTGATTAATACCAATATATATAAACATATTGTTTCTGTGAGTGTTATGATATCTGGAGACTTCTCCTCGATTCTTTCATGCCACTCCTCACATTTATTTGTTATTCCTTCCTCATTCGTATACCAAACCTTCAACTGCTTTTCTAAAACTGTGGTCTGAGGGATATGTTGAGGAAGTGGGAAACCTGGCGAAGAACTATGGCGGTTTGCTGTGGTAAACTCATATATTTTTGTTTGGTCGTTTGTATGTGTGTGTGTACTCACCTATTTGTGGTTGTAGGGGTCGATTCACAGCTCCTGGCCCCGCCTCTTCGCTGATTGCTACTAGGTCCTCTCTCTCCCTGCTCCATGAGCTTTATCATACCTCGCCTTAAAACTATGTATGGTTCTCGCCTCCACTACGTCACTTTCTAGGCTATTCCTCGGCCTAACTACTTTATGACTGAAGAAATACTTCCTAACATCCCTTTGATTCATCTGAGTCTTCAACTTCCAATTGTGACCTCTTGTGTCTGTGTCCCCTCCCTGGAACATCCCGTCTTTGTCCACCTTGTCTATTCCACGCAGTATTTTATATGTCGTTATCATGTCTCCCCTGACCCTCCTGTCCTCCAGTGTCGTCAGGCCGATTTCCCTCAACCTTCCTTCGTAGGACAATCCCCGTAGCTCTGGGACTAGTGTGTGTGTGTGTGTGTGTGTGTGTGTGTGTGTGTGTGTGTGTGTGTGTGTGTGTGTGTGTGGGCGCGTTTCACTGTCGTAAATAAAAACATTAAAAAAATAATGAACTCCAATGAAAGGGATTTCGTATAACGTTATTTTTAGCTTAGATATAATAGTATCGTCCTAACACCGTCATACGAGAGTCAAGCCTTAAACATACTACTAGCTGGTAACAATGTTGATGTTGTTAGGTACCTGTAGATAGGAGCACCAACACCATCCTTGTACCAGAGTACCAGCACAACACGGTCACTGGAGTCTGCTGTCACCACGTCACATGGCATCTCTGCTCGTCCTCCCTTCACCACGTCAGTCATGAACAGCGGCCCAGCTAAAAGGGGAAGAAAGAACATGTTAATATGTGTACAAACTTCTAAATTAAACGGTGTATTTTGTACTGTGTTCATGTGTATTGAGGATTAGAAGGACATAGGAAAGGAGGAACACTACGGCAGGCCTACTGGCCCATACTAGGCAGGTTCTTCTCATGCAAAAACTCACTAACAAAAATATTAACCGGGTCTAAGCTTTGCCTTTCAACTTATTGATCGACTTTATTAATTTCCATTTCCAAATAATAATTATTCTTGAAGCTGTGTATAGTGTCTGTCTTCCCACCACCTCTCTATCTAGCACTCACTGCTCGCTTACCGTGCTAAGACTAAAGAAGTACTTCCTAACAGTCCTGAGTTATACTTGCTATGTGTGTCCCCTGGCTCCCTAAACCCGTACCTAAGGATTGGCCGCACATTCTCTCTCTCTCTCTAGTCCAGTAAGTATCTTGTACGACACGATCATATCCCCCAAGTTGCTGCTCATAGTATTACAAGTCTGATCATCGTAGATCTTTCCTCAGAATCAAATACACTCGGTTATATCACCAGTTTTGTTAGAAACTGCCACCTTCACCAGGAAAATGTTCACGGAGTCGAACACTCCTCCAGGCTGAGGGACTGACAACCTCAAATACATTGTCTCCAAGGCTGATGGACTGATCACATTATCTCCATTTCACTATATCTGCTGAACTGAATTTGACTGAAGAAACATAATGAGTAAGCGAAACGTTTCAAAAATAAAGATATCTGTTACACGTGTGTTTAAGTCAGCTTGTCAGACTGTGTAACATGAGGAAACGCGGCAGCGCTGCGTGGCCCTAGTGAGTTTAGCGCTTCCTTATAATAATATTGAGCAGCCAAGTGCTGCCTGAGTGCTGACGATGCTGCCTCCAAGATGGTTCTAGTGCTGACGATGCTGCCTCCAAGATGGTTCTAGTGCTGACGATGCTGCCTCCAAGATGGTTCTAGTGCTGACGATGCTGCCTCCAAGATGGTTCTAGTGCTGACGACGCTGCCTCCAAGATGGTTCTAGTGCTGACAACGCTGCCTCCAAGATGGTTCTAGTGCTGACGACGCTGCCTCCAAGATGGTTCTAGTGCTGACGACGCTGCCTCCAAGATGGTTCTAGTGCTGACGATGCTGCCTCCAAGATGGTTCTAATGCTGACGATGCTGCCTCCAAGATGGTTCTAGTGCTGACGATGCTGCCTCCAAGATGGTTCTAGTGCTGACGATGCTGCCTCCAAGAAGGTTCTAGTGCTGACGATGCTGCCTTCAAGATGGTTCTAGTGCTGACAACGCTGCCTCCAAGATGGTTCTAGTACTGACGACGCTGCCTCCAAGATGGTTCTAGTGCTGACGATGCTGCCTCCAAGATGGTTCTCGTGCTGACAACGCTGCCTCCAAGATGGTTCTAGTGCTGACGACGCTGCCTCCAAGATGGTTCTAGTGCTGACGACGCTGCCTCCAAGATGCTTCTAGTGCTGACGACGCTGCCTCCAAGATGGTTCTAGTGCTGACAACGCTGCCTCCAAGATGGTTCTAGTGCTGACGACGCTGCCTCCAAGATGGTTCTAGTGCTGACGACGCTGCCTCCAAGATGGTTCTAGTGCTGACGATGCTGCCTCCAAGATGGTTCTAGTGCTGACGATGCTGCCTCCAAGATGGTTCTAGTGCTGACGATGCTGCCTCCAAGATGGTTCTCGTGCTGACAACGCTGCCTCCAAGATGGTTCTAGTGCTGACGACGCTGCCTCCAAGATGGTTCTAGTGCTGACGACGCTGCCTCCAAGATGGTTCTAGTGCTGACGACGCTGCCTCCAAGATGGTTCTAGTGCTGACGATGCTGCCTCCAAGATGGTTCTAGTGCTGACGATGTTGCCTCCAAGATGGTTCTAGTGCTGACGATGCTGCCTCCAAGATGGTTCTAGTGCTGACGATGCTGCCTCCAAGATGGTTCTAGTGCTGACGACGCTGCCTCCAAGATGGTTCTAGTGCTGACGACGCTGCCTCCAAGATGGTTCTAGTGCTGACGATGCTGCCTCCAAGATGGTTCTAGTGCTGACGATGCTGCCTCCAAGATGGTTCTAGTGCTGCCTCCAAGATGGTTCTAGTGCTGCCTCCAAGATGGTTCTAGTGCTGCCTCCAAGATGGTTCTAGTGCTGCCTCCAAGATGGTTCTAGTGCTGCCTGCAAGATGGTTCTAGTGCTGCCTCCAAGATGGTTCTAGTGCTGCCTCCAAGATGGTTCTAGTGCTGCCTCCAAGATGGTTCTAGTGCTGCCTCCAAGATGGTTCTAGTGCTGCCTCCAAGATGGTTCTAGTGCTGCCTCCAAGATGGTTCTAGTGCTGCCTCCAAGATGGTTCTAGTGCTGCCTCCAAGATGGTTCTAGTGCTGCCTCCAAGATGGTTCTAGTGCTGCCTCCAAGATGGTTCTAGTGCTGCCTCCAAGATGGTTCTAGTGCTGCCTCCAAGATGGTTCTAGTGCTGCCTCCAAGATGGTTCTAGTGCTGCCTCCAAGATGGTTCTAGTGCTGCCTGCAAGATGGTTCTATGAACCAAGTTCATTACTTAAAGGAATGTTTAGACTGTTGAAATATCTTTTTATACTATGTCGACGAGGTCTACTGTGTCCAGGTGACGTGCTTGTCTACACCAGGTGACGTGCTTGTCTACACCAGGTGACGTGCTTGTCTACACCAGGTGACGTGCTTGTCTACACCGTCACACCTGCCAGTGTTGTCTACACCGTCACACCTGCCAGTGTTGTCTACAGCGTCACACCTGCCAGTGTTGTCTACACCGTCACACCTGCCAGTGTTGTCTACACCGTCACACCTGCCAGTGTTGTCTACAGCGTCACACCTGCCAGTGTTGTCTGCAGCGTCACACCTGCCAGTGTTGTCTACAGCGTCACACCTGCCAGTGTTGTCTGCAGCGTCACACCTGCCAGTGTTGTCTACAGCGTCACACCTGCCAGTGTTGTCTACAGCGTCACACCTGCCAGACAGTGTTGTCTGCAGCGTCACACCTGCCAATGTTGTCTACAGCGTCACACCTGCCAGACAGTGCTGACTGCAGCGTCACACCTGCCAGTGTTGTCTGCAGCGTCACACCTGCCAGTGTTGTCTACAGCGTCACACCTGCCAGTGTTGTCTACAGCGTCACACCTGCCAGTGTTGTCTACAGCGTCACACCTGCCAGTGTTGTCTACAGCGTCACACCTGCCAGTGTTGTCTACAGCGTCACACCTGCCAGTGTTGTCTACAGCGTCACACCTGCCAGTGTTGTCTACAGCGTCACACCTGCCAGTGTTGTCTACAGCGTCACACCTGCCAGACAGTGTTGTCTGCAGCGTCACACCTGCCAGTGTTGTCTACAGCGTCACACCTGCCAGACAGTGCTGACTGCAGCGTCACACCTGCCAGTGTTGTCTGCAGCGTCACACCTGCCAGTGTTGTCTGCAGCGTCACACCTGCCAGTGTTGTCTGCAGCGTCACACCTATCAGTGTTGTCTGCAGCGTCACACCTGCCAGTGTTGTCTGCAGCGTCACACCTGCCAGTGTTGTCTGCAGCGTCACACCTGCCAGTGTTGTCTGCAGCGTCACACCTATCAGTGTTGTCTGCAGCGTCACACCTGCCAGTGTTGTCTGCAGCGTCACACCTGCCAGTGTTGTCTGCAGCGTCACACCTGCCAGTGTTGTCTGCAGCGTCACACCTGCCAGATAGTGTTGTCTGCAGAGTCACACCTGCCAGTGTTGTCTGCAGCGTCACACCTGCCAGTGTTGTCTGCAGCGTCACACCTGCCAGTGTTGTCTGCAGCGTCACACCAGACAGTGTTGTCTGCAGCGTCACACCTGCCAGATAGTGTTGTCTGCAGAGTCACACCTGCCAGACAGTGCTGACTGCAGCGTCACACCTGCCAGACAGTGTTGTCTGCAGAGTCACACCTGCCAGACAGTGCTGACTGCAGCGTCACACCTGCCAGACAGTGCTGACTGCAGCGTCACACCTGCCAGTGTTGTCTGCAGCGTCACACCTGCCAGTGTTGTCTACAGCGTCACACCTGTCAGTGTTGTCTGCAGCGTCACACCTATCAGTGTTGTCTGCAGTGTCACACCTGCCAGTGTTGTCTGCAGCGTCACACCTGCCAGACAGTGTTGTCTGCAGTGTCACACCTGCCAGACAGTGTTGTCTGCAGTGTCACACCTGCCAGACAGTGTTGTCTGCAGCGTCACACCTGCCAGACAGTGTTGTCTGCAGCGTCACACCTGCCAGACAGTGTTGTCTGCAGCGTCACACCTGCCAGACAGTGTTGTCTGCAGCGTCACACCTGCCAGACAGTGTTGTCTGCAGTGTCACACGTGCCAGACAGTGTTGTCTGCAGCGTCACACCTGCCAGACAGTGTTGTCTGCAGTGTCACACCTGCCAGACAGTGTTGTCTGCAGCGTCACACCTGCCAGTGTTGTCTTCAGCGTCACACCTGCCAGTGTTATCTGCAGCGTCACACCTGCCAGTGTTGTCTTCAGCGTCACACCTGCCAGTGTTGTCTTCAGCGTCACACCTGCCAGTGTTGTCTGCAGCGTCACACCTGCCAGTGTTGTCTACAGCGTCACACCTGCCAGTGTTGTCTGCAGCGTCACACCTGCCAGTGTTGTCTGCAGCGTCACACCTGCCAGTGTTGTCTTCAGCGTCACACCTGCCAGTGTTGTCTTCAGCGTCACACCTGCCAGTGTTGTCTGCAGCGTCACACCTGCCAGTGCAGTCTGCAGCGTCACAATGTCTGGTCTTATTCTTCATCTCATTACACATGTCAGGATTGAATTAAGTTGTCGTTTTTCCTCGGATCAAACTGGATTGTTTCCGGTTCCTCAGTGATTGTATTACTCTCGTGGGTATAATTACCCCCTCACACACACACGCACGCGAACACACACACCCACAGACACACAGACACACACACACATACACACACACACCCACAGACACACACATACA